TAATATTTATGCATAAATAGTGTACAAAAGATGCATAGTTAGTGTAAGTGAGATGCAAAAACTATTTTACTGAATTCTTGCATGATTACTATAAACATGATGCTACTTTATTGTAATTTTCGTTGCATAAATAGTGCACAGACGATGCATAGTTAGTGTAAGTGAGATGCATATTTATATAACAGAAGCAATTTAAAACATCAAATAATATCTGATATCAAAACATCAAATAACTATGTGTTACAATCAAAATTCTCATTGGTCTTAGTACAAGTTCTACTATTATGATTTCCTATTTCTCCACATTTTCCACAACGCCTTTTCAGCCTTTGGCTTGCTTTGATTGACTTTTCTCGTTGTGACAACAAGCGGCTTCTTGTGCTGCTTCCACTTCCCTTGTTTTTTGCTTGCTTTGGAGGAAGGATATTTACATCCAAGTTTGAAACTGAACCGCAAAAAGCTTCCATAACTGCTTCTTTGCTTAAGACTGAACCCCTGTCTTGCCGTCCACTCAACAAGTAATTCTTTTCCTCATTTAGAATTCTTGATAATCTAGCCAACTTATTCTCGTCGTCTTGAGCAAGCGATACACAGCAATGAAAATCAGACCAGATTTTGCTTATATAGGCATTCTGCTGACTTTTGTGATTTACTGCAGCTAATTTTCCATTTTCAAACTCACTACTGGAAGATGCAGCTTTGAGCCAACGGTTGAGAAGGTACTGATCAGGTATTCTATCTAAATCCTTGATCAACATTAATATATGACGACATAATAATCCAAATTGCTCAAACATCTTGCAGCTGCAATTTACAGAATCCCGACATTTATCTACAATGAAGTCAATATCATCACGACTAGCTTCTACAACTTTATATCTTGTCACATCATTCTCATTTTGGATGTGGATAGGCACACACCGAAAACATGCTGCTTCAATTTCTGTTTGTACCTCAGAAAATACTGTTTTAGTATAAACCTTTGCAGCATGTTTCTCAATTTCTAATGGTGTCTTGCATTCAGCAGGCGAAGACACACATTCATGATGCATCTTACGTGAAACATGCCTTTGTGCATCCATTGCACTTTCAAAATGCATAAAGAACTCAACTAAGTTTGCTTGTGGAGATATGTAACTTCCAAACCAACTATTTGCACTTTCTGATCTAGATGTTGTCCTAAGCAAACCGCCCATTTTCACATCTTTAAAATATGCTGGTATCCATGACTTTTTAATCTCAAACAGATTACGAAACCACTGATTTTCGGTTAAGGCAAAATCATTCATCAAATTTCCCCATTTTTCTTCAAATTCACAAGGGGTAATATAACTATTCCAGACTATGTCATTTAACCTCTTGATGAAGGTATTATCCTTTGCTAAAGTAGGACCAACCTTTACATTTACCTTTTCCATAATGTGCCACATGCATAAACGGTGTCTTGCACGTTTGAAAGTTGCCCGGATAGCATTCTTCATGGCAGGATCTTGGTCGGTAACAACGTAATATGGTTCATGTCCCATAGCCTTCAAGAAATTTTCCAACAGCCAAATATATGATTCTTCATCCTCTTTAACTATCAACCCAGCTGCATATGTTACACACTTTTTATGGTTATCTATTCCAGTAAATGGGACAAACACCATTTTGTACCTGTATATAAAAAAATAACAAAATTTAATTAGGTCTCACAAAATTTAAACATATGCATTTTTTAAGTCTGTCTTCATGCATACTTAGTTGTCTTATGTTGCAATATTAGTTTCAAATAGCTACAAGCTTTGGCAGACAGTTATGCAGACTGCTGTCTCAAAACAAAATCACTTATTTGATACCAAAATGCTTATTTAGTTTTATAATCATGCAAGAATAGTTCTATAATGTTGCATATATAGTTTGTATTATCACAAACTATTAAATTGCTAAATTATTTCATACCTGTTGCATATTTAATGTGACATCCACAACAGTAACAATCAGATATATCATAACAATTTAGATATAGCAGAAATGTATTTTCACAACTAAATCGATAAGATATTTGTTGTTTTCATATGCAATAGTTACTAATAAGAGCTGAGTAGAACTGAATTGTACCTGTTAGTGTTGTAAGTTGCATCAAATGAGACGACATCTCCAAACATCAGGTAATTTTTTCTTGAAATTGGGTCTGCCCAAAATATCCTACTTAATTGGTTATTTCCATCAACTGCATACTCAAATGCCATGTCTGGGCATACTTCTTGTTTGTTGTGGAATTTCTGAATGATGAGTTGCGCATCTGCTCCAGACATGTAAGTCATAAGTTCTCTCTTATAGTTCTTGAAATCAATTGCGAGAGCACCAACGTTATCATATCCCCCAAGCATTTCCCTATATAACCTATGGGTTTTAGCTGGTCCAATGTTTGCTTTCACACAATTAAGAACAAATTTTCGGTGTCCGTAATTCAATTGCCGATTTGCATTGAGATAAAGTGTCTCCAGTACTAGACTGTGGCAATGTCTTTCTTCAAATTCTGCAATTTTGTATCCATTTCCATCATACTCAAATATTACTCGAGCTTTGCAACCAACCCTTTTTGACACACGTTGTCGTTGAACTCCACATGACTCAGGAGGTAGTTGTGGCATACTCTTTGAAGTATTTTGTTCAATTTCTGGCTTAAATCCTTGTCTATTGCAAACTATATACTGTTTACTTACTACGCCACTTCTAAATCGTTTTTTTGTGCTAGTCCGTACATCAAATCCACCGTTTGCCCCATAGTTTCTGTAAAAATCCATTGCAATATCAAGGTTTGGAAACAGCATACCGACTTTATGCTTTATATCTGGTTGGACGATTGGTATCCAATACTTTGTTAAATTTGGTGATATCACCAACTGAATCTGAGATCCCTCATGAGCAGTACCTACTACAAAATATAAGAAGAAAATTAAGTTTGAGATCTGTTGCATGTTTAGTTCAATAAATTTGCATTCTTAGTTCAACCGATTTGCATTTTTATAACTAAAGCGTTGCATATATAGTTATAATCCAGAATGACTCATTGAATGAAACTGCTTATAACGTGCATTCTTGCCAAGATATTTCATGCATATTTATTACGTGCATATTTATTGATATACGTATGCAATTTTAGTTACTCTTTCATGCACAATTAGTTATTCTTTCATGCAAAGTTTGTTTTATATATATCGATCTAATGTATAAGCAGACCTGTGCAACAGACAATTTTCTTGCATGCTTATCAATTGACAGTTGCATATTTAGTTATTTCTACATGCATATGTATTTCTAAATCGCAGCATATTTAATATTTATGTCGGAAAACAGAGATTCTTCCACAAATCAAAATTGCAGATAAGCACGAACAACATATTTTTCAATATTATGTGCTCGACTCTTATTAAATAACTCGATTTCATCAATGTATAATTCATCAGCATTGATTATTTTAAATTTAGATGAATCAATTTGGAAAAAAATGTCACTATACCTCCTTCCATTAATGTCGCAATTGGAGTTGCTTCGATCTCCATTTGATGTTGCTGTCGCCGTCGCCGTCGCCGATTTTGTGTGATAAATCCGATGAACTTTATGAACCGCAGTTGAGTTTGTCTATCGAATAGATTAAAAAGTTAAACCTAATTAGTCGATGAAATCGAAATCGAGTATGAGAAGGAAATCCTACAGAATCGTGATTGAGAAGGAAAGTTTAGATATTTTTCTGATTTTGCTGCGAGCGGAGATGGAGATCTGTTTTCATTCTGTTTGATTTGTTATATTTATATGTTTGATTCTGAGCGTAGATCTGAAAGGCAGATCTGACGGCTCAGATGATGGTCTCACGTGCACATTTTAAGGGGTGGACTCATTGGATCCACCCTATATATATATATATATATATATATATATATATATATATATATATATATATATTAGTTGCATAGTTTAAATTTAGATATAATATATTGACAAAACTTGCGTCTATTACCTTCTTAGTTGCATGGTGTAAATTTGGTATATAATATGACAAAAAACAAAACTAAATTTTCTTATTTAAAATTAAAAATCAAGTACAGATTTTTTCATAACTTAAGGGTCAATATTAACTTGAACATAAATGGAATTGTCAATTATTTATAGTTTAATAAATTACTCAACTACTTAACTTTTTTTATTTAGATAGTTTATACAAAAATAAAATTATGTTATGACATTGCAATAAATTAATATAGGTAGATTGTATTACATTTTGATTCCATAATTTTAATTTATAACTATTATTTAATGAAAATTTTTAATTTATAAATATCAATAAATATATTTTACCCGTGCATCACACGAGATTCGTACTAATTTTAAAAAAAATTAAAATAAAAAAGTTGGATGGACCCTTTTGAATAGGATGTCGGATAGATCGGCCGAAATATTGCATTATGATCCGATTACTCAAATCGGTCCAAACCGGATGGACCAGGTGTGGGTCGACCCACCAGGCTGAAAAGCTATGCACCCTTCCTGTGAATTTGGTGTTTGCCATCCCCTCTATATATAATTTCAAAATAGGTTGAGCCTACATGACAAACTCTCACGCTTCGGAATCCTATGTGGCAAAATACCATGATTTGGAGTTAGGCTTGGATATAAATTAATATTTTTTATCACACTAAATCCATGATTGATTTTTTCCTTCTTTACTTCTACAATTAGTTATCATAAATTATTTTATATTTCTTTTCCTTATATTACCGTACATTACATTTCTTTTTCTTATTTAATACATTCATTAGTTATTATAAATATTTATTTTTCTTATTTTATGATTTTATAACTTTTTTGTTTGTATTATATTTTTTTATATATGATACATCAAATTAACTTTTAATTAGCTTTTTATATTCTTCTTAGCTTTTTATATGATATATTTTTTATTAACTTTTTATATTCTTCTTATATAACATTTTAATAAACTCNGTTTGGGAGCGACCTTATTCTCTCGTTTGGGAGCGATTCACAGTTTTAGCACCATTGATCGAGTTCTGAAGTTTAATCCCTAGTTTCATGTTGTTCTCTTGCTCATCTGCATTCTATATTTTGAATTCTACCTCGCCCACTATACCCTAATACCCAAGCACGTAAAATCCCTAAATTGGGGATTTAGGGTTTTTTTCCACAGTGATGGCGGAATGGTTCCGAGCAAGTCAGGATGAGGAGTTAGCTAATCGAATATAGAGCTTCTCCCTATCCAACAGAGAATCAAACATCATCGATCTTGCACACAATGATATCAGGTTAAGTGCAGATGAGTGCCACAGAAGTCTTTTTGGCAAAATTATTGGAGACCGAACAGCTAGCTGGATTGGTGTGAAGAGGACGATGAATCACATCTGGAAGCTTTCCCAACCAATGGAAGTCAAAGAGTTGGGGCCTAACTACTTTCAATTCATATTCCAAAGTAGAGAGGATTTGCAGAAAGTGATGGCTGGAACAAACTAGAGTTTTGAGAACCAGTATCTCATTCTCCAGGAATGGCAAGATAATATGTCAAGTAATCATCCATGCTTCAATGAACTGCATATCTGGGTTCAAGTGCTAAATGTACCACTTAATTGGCTGAGTACTGAAGTTGGGCTCAAAATTGGTCAAATTTTTAAGGAAGTCTATAATGTTGTTATAGTAAGCTCAGGTAATCACGACGGTCGTATTCTGGCACTTCTGACTTCAGTGAATTTGGAAGAGCCTCTGCCTCGCTGTGCAAATGTGAGACTCGGAGATCAACTGGTCAATGTCAGTTTCAGGTATGAAAAATTAGTTAACTTGTGCCATTATTGCGGCCCTATTGAGCACCTGGACAAAGGATGCTCAAAAAGATTGGAAGATATTAAAAATCATGTTCTCAACGAAGGCCAATACGGAGATTGGATGAAAGCTGTATATGGTCACAACTGGGTGGAAGTAAACTTATCAGGTTCCAGGAATTCTCCACCACAGACGAACCCTGCAAATACTGAAACTCAATCAACTCACACAAACTCCTCTAATAAACTGAAAGAAAAACAATAACTTGTCACTTTCAACCCTGGACCTTCTGAACCTACTCCCATTTCCAAACCAAAAACAGCCAAACATCCATCCTCACCTATCACCACTTCACCCAACCCTGCTGAAACAGTTGCATCAAGTATGCCAACTCCATGTCACCCAAAACATATGGAGGTTGAAACTCCAGACTCAATTTCAAGTTCTTCATCCAAACAACGCAAAAAGCCACCATCTCCTTCTAAAGCCTCAGGGCAACTTAAAACTTGGCGAAGAACAGGAAATAAAGAAGGAAGGCTGCAAAGAGAAATGCAAGCTACAACTCCTATTGGGAAATCAGTACTGGGAAAGAGATCAAGAGCCACTCAATTAGCTCTAACATCAGTAGAAGAAGAAGCAGAACATGAGCAAGCAGATAACAGGAAATTAAAAGCCAATGAGCATGCTATCACATTAGTAGTAGAAAGAGTAGAACCTATGCAGGCAGAAAGTAAGACATTTAAAGCAAAAGAGCCGAAAGGTGGGGGTTGCCAGCCGGGAATAGCACCCAAGTGACAAATGTTAGCTGCGGTGTGGAATTGTAGAGGGCTGGGTGGGCCCTCTACAATTTCCCAAATCCGAGAGTCAATCAAGACTCACCATCCCACTTTTTTCTTTCTCTCTGAAACTAAAAAATCTGGTTCTTTTATTAAAACTGTTACAAGGAGACTTGGTTTTGATGATAGAATGGCATTTATGGATCCTGTAGGTTAAAATGGAGGTTTACTGCTGTTATGGGATTCAAAAGTTGACATCAGACAGATCATCAAAAAGTCATTTTATATTGCAGTTGAATTTCAAATAGGCTCCTCAGAAGCTCAATGTGGAATTTTTGTGTATCTTAGTACTTGCAAACAACAGAGGATGGAACAATAGGCTGAAATGGAAGTGGACAAAACTCTTTGGGGAAGTCACTGGTTTGCCATTGGTGACTGGAATGACTTGTGCTCTAATTCTGAGAAATCTGAGGGACTAATAAAAAGTGCAAGGAGCTTCATGGGTTTTAACAGTCACACTAATGCTATGGAAATGGAAGAATTTCAAATGACTGGATATCAATACACATGGTGCAACAACCGGGCAGAGGAAGGATTAGTTGAAGAAAAGCTAGATAGAGCTTTTGCATCTTTTGATTGGCTTTTAGCTTTTCCCAATGCCACAGTGGTTAATGAGATTAAAAGTTCTTCAGATCACTACATACTTGTTTTTTACAGTGGCCAGCTAAAAGAAAGGAAGCAAACTCGTTTCCACTTTGATAAGAGATGGCCAGGTATGGATGGATTTCAAGAAACTGTTGCAGCTGCTTGGTCATTGTCATGCTCTGGGATTCCATTATTCAGACTTAAGGAGAAGATCAAGCAAACCCGTTTGGCACTTCTCATTTGGAGTTCCAAATTCAAAACTCAAAATCAACAGAAGATAGCTGCTCTGTCCAAAAGATTAGAACAACTCAGATCAAATAAAACTGGGGACAACTGGGAGCTGTGGGAATCAACTAAAAGTGAACTAGACAAGGCTCATCTATTTGAAGAGATCCATTGGCAGCAAAAATCAAGGCTCAAATGGCTCAAGGAAGGAGATGGTAATACAAAGTTTTTTCATGCCTACACATCTCAAAGAAGGAGACAGAATGCAATTACCAGACTTCTCACTACACAAGGCAGACAGCTCACTTCACACCAAGACATTGTATCCCACATCACTGATTTCTACTCTCAGTTTTTTTCCTCTGAAGGAAGTTGGGGAGGAGACACTCTTTTGCACCTAATTCCCAAAACAATCTCAGAGGACATGAATCAAGACCTCCTTAAGCCAGTGACTGAACTTGAAATAAAGAAAGCACTTTTTAGTCTCCATCCAGATAAGGCACCCGGGGAAGAAAGAATGAGTGCACTGTTTTACCATCAATGTTGGAACATCATCAAAGTTGATTTTGTGGAAGCTATCATGAGTTTCTTCCAAACATATACCATGTTGCAATACTGGAATTATGCCATACTTTCTTTAATTCCAAAAACCCTTAATCCTGAAACACTGGGGCAATACAGACCAATTGGCCTATGCAGCATTGTTTATAAAACAATTTCCAAAATTCTTGCTCAAAGGCTTAATACCTGCTTGAATGATTGCATAAGTCTGTACCAGTCTGCTTTTGTAAAAGATAGGCAATTGATGGATAATGTGATCATAGCTCAAGAATTATTTTATGGCTTTAAAAATGGACCTTGTAAAAGCATTTGACAGGGTTGAGTGGATGAGCATTAGAAAGATAATGACTCAAATGGGCTTTCACAGAGATTTTGTTCAGTTGATTATGACCTGTGTTTCAACATCTACTATTTCTTTTAAAGTGAATGGGCAAGTTTGTGGCTTTGTATATCCATCTCGTGGAATAAGGCAAGGGGATCCTTTATATAACGCCTCAATCGATTTTTAAAGAAAATCCATGGCTTTTTCAAAAAATCAAGGTAAAATTTTTGAAATTCATTTTTCGAATCATAAATATTTCGGCGTTACTCATTCTTTTCAAAACTTAGTTCAAGTCATGTCTGAACCAACGAGGATTCATTACCCGATTTTTTAAAGGTTTTCATTAACCATAATCTCATCAGCATAAACAATAAACATCATGATATTCCTAATCACATGCTCATGAATATCAAACTGGAAGGTTTTTCAACATAAACCAATCCAAACACGTTTCCAAGATAATCAAGTCAACATGTTTTCAAAATCCAAATAACTGTCACGTTCGAATAAACAAACATAAGTTCATGAAAGCGGAAGCAATAATAAGCATAAATAAATAAGCGAGACCACCCACTCGTCTTATCTCGTCACCCGCCGACTGCTTAACCTGCATCCGTGAAGAGCAAGTGGGAGTGAGCATAATAGGAAAATTTAATGCTCACCACTATGCATATGAAAATTTATAAAATATGTTAGGATGGTATGGTCGCAACATGAACATAAACAATAATAACATCATGTTTCATCTCTAGTCACATCAATGACTCACTCATGTGCACATCTAAGCTTAGTCATGCCATGTAAGGACACGGGAGTGCGTGCTACCTAAGGACACGGCCTTTCTATAGGACTTAAGGAGATTTTTGTAGCGCCCCGTTCGAATATTAGATTTTTTTTCGAGTTTATTTTAATTAATGGTATTTTATTTTATTATTTATATGCCTTGATTATGTGACTATATATTATATTATTATATGGATAAAATATGATTATATAGCTCGTTCGATTTTATTTTTATCGATTGCCGTTTGAATTTTCGGTTTAATCGCGTAAGCCAAATTGTTGTCCGTTTTAATTCGTTTTCGAACCCTAGTCTATTTATGGTCTTAACCACGGTTCATGCATGTGATTAAGAGCTTACTAAGTATTTTCTAAGCTTAAGTAAGTCTTAGAAGCATTAGCAATAGTCAAAGCTCTTGTGGCCTCACTTTACGCAACTTATTGCCGGGGGTAATAAGAAACGAGCCACTCACATTTCTTGAGCCAATGGCTCATTTTATGGTCATTTTATTTCAAGTATCATGATGTGCAAATATAACCAGGTGGGTTAGGATTAATATGAGCCAATTTAGTCCATGAGAAGGTGTAGGAAAGTCAACAAACATTGGCATCTAGTGAGACATGTGCTAGGTATTATTATTATGCATGTGTAAGAGTTTGTCTTTTGTCTTGTATTAACAAGAGTTGACTAAAGCCATGTTACTACATCATGTGAGGCTCGACCATATTCAGCTACTACCCTCCATTTTATCTAGCATAATGGTCTTAGTTTAATTAACATCACATGAAGACATCAAGCAAACACCACATGCGCATGAGAAGAGAGATGAGACAAGAGTTAGACCCTTTTCTTGTGATTTGTTGTATTACACATGAGTTTCTTTTATAAGCCTTCAATGACAATAGAGTTTAGCCATAGACATTCAGCATTTTTCCCTCGAACACTTAGCAAACGCCCAAACTCCCTCCCTCAAGAGAGCAAATCCAAGAGTTCTAGGACAATCCCACACCCGAGTCACCTTCTTCATTTCTTGCATTTTCTTGTTCCTTGAGGAAGGTAAGAGGCTATCCTTGGTGCATACTTATAGCTTATTTAAGGTGTTATTATGTGTGTTAAAGTGTGACTAAGATTCAGTTTATCCATGTTGAAGGGAGATTATGTAGTAAATTGCTTATAGTTCGATTTTTATGGCCTCTGTTTTGTTGCTGATAAGGGAATGAACTAATCGTTTTATGAAGTTGTGTTCTTCATATGATCTGTAGACCATTTTGTGGTGGTTCTGTGAGTTTTGGAATTTCGAAAATCCTATTTAAAATGAGAGAGATATGATTTTTACAAAAATATAGCGCGAGCAGTTTTTAACAAAACCCGGCAGCAAGTTTATGTTAAATGTTTTACCTGTTTGTTGCATCTTAATGTGCTCAAATAAAAATATTATCTTCATGAACGTTATAGGTCTCTTTCTAAGCTTTCTGATGAGGTACAATTCATGTTGATATGATTACTGTAGCTCGGTTTGTGTTAGATAGAAGTAGGATAAGCATGTAGTGAGTTATACTTTTAAGCAGCAAGGTGGTTTTAAATGTTAACTGATTTTACTCCTCTTCAATGACCTTATCTTCCTTAGAATTATAAATAAAAGTTGTAGAACTGTCTCTTAGGTTTCTAACAAGGTATGAAGCATGTCAATATGATAAGTGTAGCATGAGATGTGAGTTTTGTAAAAATGTTATGCCAGCAGTTTTTGAAAAATCGGGCTGAGTATATGATATTGATGTTTGGTCTGAAAGTGATGTTCTAACATGCTCAAATGTGAAAGTGATCTTCATGAACATTGTTGTTATGCTTCTCCTCTATCCATTGGTTTTAAATTATGATCAATTGGAGGTCTATATAATGATTTAGACTATAAATACCGAAGTGTTGTTTGTAAACTGAACCAAGTTCCGACAGATTTTATGACCCAAATGTTTTGTGCTTAAAACTGTTGATAATGCCCTTATTTGACAATGTGGTCTTCAGCAAAGTTGTTTAAAATTGAGTTAGCTACATTTTGGGTTTTAGAATTTCCTTGATAGCATGTCTATAGCTCCATTTATATTGAATATACTGAGGTTCTGTCCATTACATGTTTCCAGATTTTTCACAGCATCCCTGTTTCACATGTTTGATGTTCTAAGGCCTGCTAAATGACATCATTTGCTTCTGATGTCTTCATAAGAATTTTAGAGGCATGTCTTAGGACTCATATGCAACTGATTTCGTGTCAATATGAATTGTGTGCTGCATTGGGTGTCGATTTCAAAATCGCTGCGCGGGTTGTGTTTCGAAAATTTATGTGGTGTTTTCGAAAATAAAATCTATCTTTTTAATGCTTGCTAATATGACTTATATGGGCTGAACTGACCTAAGTGTTTTTGATATAAATGTTGATATGAGTGTATTTATGTGTTGGATAGTCTTTGATAGGAACCTCGTAACCATTGTAGGTGTTTGACGAGCCGTGCTATCATCCTATCGACTCTTGAGTATTTAATTGCTATTTTGGTACCAGGTGGGTTTGTTATTCAAAAATTTTCTATGCATATGCGTGACTTTAATTGTGATGAAAGTTTGGTTTGATCTATGTATGAAAATGAACATGTCGCCTATCGATGTGAGCTTGATGGCCATCGGTACGGTTGTCCCCGTATGATAAGATACGGTTACCCTGTGAGGTAAATCTCATAAAGACCTATGAGAAGGCCGTGTCATTGATGTGGCACGCACTCCCATGTTTCACTGATATGGCATGGCTTAGCTTTGATGAGCATAGATGTACATGAGTGAGTCTTTGATGAGACTAGAGTCATTGATGTGACTAGAGATGTGACATGATTTATTGTTTATGTTCATGCTGCGACCATACCATTTATATGTTATTCATATGCATAGTGTGAGTACGATATTTAACTGTACTCACTCCCACCTGCTCTTCACGGATGCAGGTTAAGCAGTTGGCGGGTGACGAGACAAGACGGGTGGTGGTCATGTTTTTATTTATTGCTTATTTATTTGCTTCCGCTCATTTAAGGAACTCATGTTAAGATATTTTGATTATGTAGTTTTGAACTTGGAATTATGAATTATCTTTATGATTTGGAACTTAATAAATGCTAGTTTTGTTTATGATTTATTATTCGTGCATTCTGTCTTTATCTGATGTGTTGGCATTTTCGGATAAAAGTTTTCGGTAAAATAAGTAGCGCCCACTAAGTTTTTATTAAATTGAGATTTGCGAAAAATTAACTCTGATTTTTATTAATTAAATTCGATAAATCTTTAAAATAAAGTGGGGCGTTACAATTTTCCTCGTAAGGGCAACCGTACCGTAACTCGACGGGGACAACCGTACCGATGGCCATCAGCTCACATCGATTGGCTACATGCTCACATGCATACATAGATCATACCGGTTTAACACATTTAAAAAATACATATGCATAGATATTTTAGAATAACTAACCCACCTAGATTTCTGGATTTGTCAAAACACGAGAAGAAATGGACGTAGGTCAAGGCTTGACTCCTCAATTACCTACATTAAGTCAAGATTCTACAATCAACATCTATCTTGACTTTTAAAAGGGAAAACACAAATCAGACTTAGTCGAACTTGATTCGATTAAGTTGTTCGTGAAGTCCTGTGGACATTGGAACACTTAGACTCGGCACTTATACTCGACTAAAACACATATGGGAGTTCACATAAATCCAACTAAGGGTTGACAAAGTCAAACAAACAAGGAACAACATGCGAGCCAGTTTACAGTTTTTAACACAAAAACTATATTTTTGAAATACTAGTCGATAAATCACATAATCAGGTTGGTCAGGTTGAGGAATGAGTTAAGCTCTGAAATTTTAACATAAAATCCAACTCACGGGACTTAGTAAAACCTCCAAATATCATCCCTTAACTCAAAACACACGATTTTATAAAATTCGAACAAGTTTTCAGAAAAAACGAGTACAAATTCAAAGACTGACATAATGAACGATTTAACCTTTGAAATTTTTCCACAAGAACCCTTAGCATGTGAATACCAACATGTAAAAACTTCAACTTTAAACGTTAAACATGCAAATTATAACAATTATAAAAAGATTTAGCAGATTTCAACATTTCAGCAAAACTGAACCAATATGGACTCCAAAAATCTTGAGCATTTTTCTACACACATGACATCATTAAACAAGCACTCCAACCAAAAATTAGCAATTTACAACAATGGGTCAAATTATAATAATGAAAACAAGTTTCAGCAGAATACTACAATAAATTATTTATCCTAGGAAACGAAGTCCAAAAATTATGAAATGTTTACACAACATGTAAATATGCTAGAGAATCATAAAGGGAGATCGAGCCTCGGTACCGTTCTCGGGAAAGGTCGCAAGAAAGGATTGAACGAGGGTTGTCGAGCGCTCAACGGGGCTCGACGGCTTCAGGCGCGGCTCGCCGATGATCGCGTGGTCTGCTCGGCGACGGAGAGAGCAATCGCGAGGGACTGTGCGGCGTTCGGCTTACCGCTGAGGTGCTCCGATGCGAAGGAGACGTTCGTCGGGCTGCTGTGCGTGTACAGGGATCACCGGAGAAGCTTGCTGGTTGCGGTGGGAGGTCTCCGCGCGGAGGAGCGGCAGTGGTCGCTCGCCGGAGTTGCTGGCTCGGAGAGGAGAGGTCGTCGGGCCTTCTCACAGACAATGACGACGTCTCAGTTTCAGCGGCAGAGGAGAGGGACTCGCAGGAGTAGATCGCGAGGGCCTGACGGCGGAAAACTGCTCTTTCTCGGGTTGTGCAGCGGCGGCCGAAGGGAAGGAGGTGTGCGGCGATCGGGATGCTGATCTTTGTGAGGACGGTGATGGTGGCAGCGATCGAAAAAACGATGGAGGAAGATGGTGGCGCGATGGATTTTTATACGAGAGGGAGAGAGAGTTTTGCGGGTAAAAAATTTATCGAGAGGGAGAAGAGACAGAGATACTGCGGGCGTTGAGAAAGAAAAGCGAGGGAGAAAGGAAGTTGCGGTGTGTTTGATCGAGAGAGAGAGGAACAAATATATTAGACTAGGCTTTCTCTCTTCTGCTAATACGCGAGCGAGGGAGAGGTGTGAGGTATTTCGGCGTGTAATAGGGTTAAGAGCTATGGGTCAGTCATCAAGGTTCATGGGCTGAGAATATAAGGGCTTTAACGGGCCGATAATACTTGGACAAAAAGGCCGGAATATTTACTCTTTTGGGCTGAAAATAATAAGGCTCGATTCTGGATTCTCGGGCTTAATTTATTCCGACAATAAAACTAGCTCGGTTGATCGCACGAAAAATTAAAATAAAATCGGATACATATATATATATATATATATATATTTTTAATACACACAATATTTAATAATAATATTAATAATATGTATTTAAATATTTAATGACAATTAGGCATTTAGTAACATAAATAATAATAATAATAATAATAATTATAGCAAACAATAAATAATAATACTAATAATAGATAATAATAATAATAATAAATAATCCCAAAATTATTCATAAATAAACGGGGCGCTACACTTTATCCCCTTACCTATTCATTGTAGTTGTTGAATAGTTATCTGCTCTAATCATGGAAGCTATTAACCTGGGCAATCTGAAGGGACTCAAGTTGTCTCAAAATGGCTCTACACTCTCTCATCTCCTCTTTGCAGATGATTCCTTGTTCTTTTGCAAGGCTGGAAATGATCAAGCTAGAATTCTTTTAACTCTGCTGGAGAAATACAGACTCTTTACAGGTCAACAAGTCAATCTGCACAAATCTGCCATTTTTTTCAGCAGAAATGTACCTCAACCACTTCAAGCTAGCATTTGCAGTACTTTGAATGGAATTGCCTCACATAGGTCAACCAGATACCTTGGATTTCCACTTGGGATTGGCAGATCCAAGAAAGAGACATTTGATTACATTCTTTCCTCCATCATAAACAAGTTACAGAACTGGAAATCAAAGTTCCTTTCAGCAGCAGGTAAGGAGACTCTACTCAAATCAGTTATCCAAGCACTCCCTATCTTTACCATGTCTTGCTATAAGCTTTCCATTACTCTATGCAATGATATTTCCAAACTGTGTGCTGAATTTTGGGGGCAAAATGGAGAGAACAATGGTAAAGGTATACACTGGAGGAGTTGGAACCTCTTGACACTACCAAAGCTGAATGGGGGACTTGGATTTCTTGACACAAGATTGTTTAATGAAGCTCTAATCTGCAAGCAACATTTGGAGGATAGCTACCAAACCTGAGCTACTGGTATCCAAAATATTCAAAGACATATATTTCCCAAACTGCTCCATTCTTGAAGCTGTCAAATCTCAAAAAGGGTCATGGCTATGGAACTCATATTGATGTGTTGCTTGTGTTTGCAAAAGGACTGAAAACTGAAATAAGGAGTGGAGCTTAAACAAGAATCAGTGATCTGAACTGGATTCCTCAGCTTCCACAGGTCACACCTCAAATGATTGAGATAGCCAGAGGACACCTTATATGGGTCAAGGATCTAACGAATGTTGATGAGAAGGACTGGAATGAGTGGCTGATAAGGCAAGTATTCAATGACACTGACAGTGAGGCTATTTTGAGCATCAAATCTATTAACAAAGACAAATGATAGAGTGTACTGGGGATTGGAAAAGAAAGGAAATTTTTCTGTGGCCAGCACCTACTCATACCTCTCTTCTCAAAAGATTTTGAAACTTGACAGGCCTGAAAGCAGTAATGCAACACAAAGGAGTACTACCACCTACAGAGGATGGAGCTTGAAAATACAAAGAAAGATAAAGCATTTCCTTTGGAAATGTTTATTTGGTACTCTTCCAGTGGCCACTAACCTAGTGAAAAAAGGTGTTGACATTGATATCATTTGTTCTCTTTATGGAGAAGAGCCAGAGACAGTTGAACCTACCTTATTAATTGTCGAAGGGCATGCAGAGTATGGGAAAAGGCTCCACTGAATTGGGAGGGACTCAACAACTTCACTCACTCATTTAGGGCTGGTTGGCAAGGAGTTTGTTCTCTCAATACCTCTGATGTCTCTGAAGCAAGAATCCAGTTGTCCACCTATCTCTTTTGGTGGCTCCGGAAATCCAGAAATTTGTGGATTTTTCAAATGAATCGACTCCCAGTGCATGTTCTCATTAGAGCAGCCTAGAAAGATTGGTCAGACTTTGTTCATGCATGTTGATCTCCCTGTGTAATCCATCTATGTTTGTTTAGCTGTTTCTGTGGATTGTCTGTAGTATTTATGTAGCTTTCTTTTATTTTGGGTTAAGAGTCTAACTAGGCTTTTAGCAGTGGTTTAGACTCTTAATTTCTATAGTAGTTTCTCATGTGTATTTGTTGAGGTTCTAGGCCACCTTTGGTGTGCCTCTCATGTTATTTAGTTTTCGGTTGAGTAGGGTCTCCCTTTGTATTAGAACTTTGTTCTCGTTTGAGTTTTATCAATATAATTCCTATCGTTTTGTAAAAAAAAAAATATATATCAAATTAACTATCTTTTAACGTGATATGGTCATACTTATGAACCAGAGTCAAGTATGAGAAGCTCCACACGACTAAGTATGGGAAGTAGACATGCTCTTTGTAACTGAGTATGCGAAGCTCCACACGACTAAGTATGGGAAGTAGACATGCTCTTTGTAACTGAGTATGCGAAGCTCCACACGACTACGTATGGGAAGTAGACATGCTCTTTGTAACTGAGTATGCGAAGCTCCACACGACTAAGTATGGGAAGTAGACATGCTCTTTGTAACTGAGTATGCGAAGCTCCACACGACTAAGTATGGGAAGTAGACATGCTCTTTGTAACTGAGTATGCGAAGCTCCACACGACTAAGTATGGGAAGTAGACATGCTCTTTGTAACTGAGTGCGAAGCTCCACACGACTAAGTATGGGAAGTAGACATGCTCTTTGTAACTAAGTATGCGAAGCTCCACACGACTAAGTATGGGAAGTAGACATGCTCTAGAAGCAGACTTGCTAGAATCATCTCCACCTGCTAGACTTGTCAGAGGTCATCTCGACCTGCTAGACCTTCTAGAGGTCATCTCGACTTGCTAGACTCATCTCTACCTGCTAGACTTGCTAGACTTGTCAGAGGTCATCTCGACTCGCTAGACTCGTCTCAACCTGCTAGACTTGCCAGATGTCATCTCAACTTGCTAGACTCGTTTCGACCTGCTAGACTTGCGAGAGGTCATATCGTCTCGACCTGCTAGAGATCATCTCATCTCGACTGGACAAGAGGAGCTAGAGCTCATCTCAACTACTAGACATCTCTGTGACTAGAGGTCTCTGCTACTAGACCTCTCCGCTACTAGACATCTTCTCTACTAGACGTCTCTGTGACTAGAGGTCTCCGCTACTAGAGGTCTCTGCTACTAGACTTCTCTGTGACTACAAGAGAGTGGCAGTAATTGGATAAGAAGGAATCTTGAGCTGACTAGGAGGTAGATGGAAAGCAAACCTACCAGGGCATTTTGGACACTTCAGGTAAACCGACTGGGGCATTTGGGTACTTCAAGCAAGTAGTTCCCTCTATATAAAGGGGCTAAGGTAACCCTAAACCCTAACCTCTACTCATTCTATACACTTTCCATCTCTCTGCTGCTGCTGCTGCTGCTCTCTTAGAGCGGCTCTCTCCCCCACATTCTATGCATTTCTACATGCATCACAGCTCTACATCATAGAGCTTCATCTTCCTCTCCTCTGTTTACTGACTTGAGCGTCGGAGGCCCGACGCCGGGACCTCTCCCGGCGTTGGGTTCTTGCAGGTGTTTGCGGACCCTTTCTGAAGTTTAGGAATAGGGTGTAACCCTTGGGCGGGGTCCCGTCTCGGTCTTCCTCCTTCTGACGACGGTCTAGCAACGATTTGAAGGCGGTTCAAACATATCAGAGCTCACAACAACCGGTTTACTCCAGATCTGGAAGTAGACCCATCATTTGGCGCCGTCTGTGGGGAGCTCTTGAAGGAACTAAGAGCTTTGCACCTAGTTCTGATCTGTCTGAGATGGTTGAGAAGAGAAGTGTGTAGAGGAATTTGAGTGAGGAGTTGTGGGGGATATGAAGAGGAAGGATACCTCTAGTGGTTCTCAGCCTTGAGTGTTTTCTCTATAAAGAGGCTGCCACCATTTGATTCTCACGCGCCGTCATGAGCGCGTGTGGAAGAGGAGCTACCTTCACCCCTGGAGAGGAAGAGCCACTTATTTGCTGAGACGCAGAGCACTAGACCCTCACCAATGACACTTGGTGAAGGTCAAAGATATATGGAGAAATCACTAATAGAGAGACCCATGACAAGTTGGGGTCATTCTGGACTACCTAGAGACACTCATGACGAGTTGGGGTCATTCTGGACTACCTAGAGACACTCATGACGAGTTGGGGTCATTCTGGACTACCTACAGACATTCATGACGAGTGGGGATCACTCTGGACGATCTGGATGCACTCATGACGAGTTGAAATCACTCTGGACGATCTAGAGGCACTCATGATGAGTTGAGATCACTTTGGACGATCTGGAGGCACTCATGACGAGTTGGAATTACTCTGGACAATCTAGAGGCACTCATGACGAGTTGAGATCACTATGGACGACTTAGAGACCTTCAGTTAGATGGAAGAGCGACTCACGACTTATATACAACTAAGTGAGACATACGCAATCATGGCTAGAGAGGCCTAGCTCTAAATCTAAAGGAGTCTAAGTCTACAAGAGAGAACGACTTAAGTTTCTAAAACAGCTACGAAGCTGAAGACGACTACGAAGTCGATCATCTCAAACTCCACCATGACTAAGGCTTTTGAAAAGCTGGGTGGTCACTTGTTTTGAACAATCCTAGACTTGGGTTGGGCAAGTGTTTGAAATCAAATTCCACCATGACTAAGGCTTTTGAAAAGCTGGGTGGTCACTTGTTTTGAACAATCCTAGACTTGGGTTGGGCAAGTGTTTGAAACCAAACTCCACCATGTCTAAGGCTTTTGAAAAGCTGGGTGGTCACTTGTTTTGAACAATCCTAGACTTGGGTTGGACAAGTGTTTGAAATCAAAATCCACCATGACTAAGGCTTTTGAGGAGCTGGGTGGTCTCCAACTTTGAAACAGCTCGCAAGCTGGGTTGAGCGAGGTCGTGAATTGAAAATTTTTCTAAGTTAAACTGCTCTACGCTGCCTAGAGTGGCTCGTTGATTCCAACTTTGAACAGCTCGCAAGCTGGGTTGGGCGAGGTCATGAATTGAAAATTTTTCTAAGTTAAACTGCTCTACGCTGCCTAGAGTGGCTCGTTGATTCCAACTTTGAACAGCTCGCAAGCTGATTCCAACTTTGAACAACTCGCAAGCTGGGTTGGGCGAGGATAGTATTGAGGATAAAGGGCACAATGGGAGAATTGATTGCAAAAGGTAACTAACAAGAGCTCATCTCGACTTGACAAGAAATGAGCAAGAGCTCATCTAGACTTGACAGAGGAAGAGCTGGAAGCTCACCTCGACCTACTAGACTTGCTAGAGGTCGTCTCGACTTAACAAGAAATGAGCAAGAGCTCATCTAGACTTGACAGGGAAAGAGCTAGAAGCTCATCTCGACCTACTAGACTTGCTAGAGGTCGTCTCGACTTAACAAGAAATGAGCAAGAGCTCATGTAAACTTGACAGAGAGAGCTAGAAGCACATCTCGACCTACTAGACTTGCTAGATGTCATCTCGATTTGACAAGATATGAGCAAGAGCTCATCTAGACTTGACAGAGGAAGAGTTAGAAGCTTATCACAACTTAACGGTAATTGCGACCTCATGATCGAAAAACGGATGGTTTTCACGACCCAACAACTCGTGGTTAAAGATATACAACAGAAATGAACTATCAACACATCACAAACAAGCATGGAGCAAAATACAAGTGCAAATACATATTGGTCACCGCGACCTCGAGTAGGAGAGTAAAAATATTATGGTCTGCACGACCTTACAAAATAGCGAAAGTAATCACACATGAGCAACTGTTTACACGGTCATCGAGACCTTACAACTTCAAAAAAAATCGAACTACAAGCTATGGGAATTACAATGGTTCTCTAGCTAACTTAATAATTTCATGAAATTGCTATAGCTACTTCGCCTTGGAGATGCCTACTAATCCATAAACTGGGAGTTGCTAACCAACGCAACAGTCTCGAACCATATTGCGAGATGCAAAGTATTACATATTGAGAGCTATATAAGATAACGAGCTGTAAGATAATGATTAGCGAGCTACTACAAATGCCTTGAGCAGGTTATGATAGTCTTGAGCAGGCTGTGGTAAAATCTGAGCTGCGAGCCGCTACAAATGTTGAACAGGCTATTGTAAAGGTCGAGGTACGAGCCATCACCACGATTAGTGCTGCGAGCAAATTGAAGATAATCAATTTACAGAAGTATAAATATGTTCATCAGATGCACAGAATAAACAGGAGTACACAGCAAGTCAAGAACATGAATTTATCACAGGAAACTGGAAAACAATTAAACTTTATGTTCAAAGGATCGGGTCGACACCACTGCAAATAGATGTATGCGAGCAACGTCAGTCGACCTAATCTCAGATAGGTAGATTAGACCGAGGTTGTAGAAGCAACTCACGGAGGAATACCGCGACTTGCGACCACTCGAGATCGCAACAAAAAAATCAATCAATCACGACTAACCTTTCGGAGATTAACACAGCTCGGCTGATGCCTCACAACTAACAGGCTTGGACCAACACCTCGCAAATCGATTGAACCGAGGCCTAGATGCGTCCCATTAGAAGAATCGTAACCCGCCTCGAATTAAGCACAAAACGCGACCGAAAGAAAACACACTCGTGGCTGACACATCGCGATTAGCAGATCGCGATCAACACATTGTGAGTCGGAGTAAAATAACCACCAACACATCGCGAATCTAGAAGATTCGCGATTAGCTCGTGAGGGGTAAATCTCGAGCCAGGAGAAAATCGAGAATAGCACGCCAATGGACGCCAAAAAATCGCGACTCGCGGACCACGAGCAGTATATCTCGACTTTGCGAAAATGACGAGCAGTAAATCGCGACTTGCGGACAGCGAGCAGTACATCGGGAGTTGGGGAAAGCGCAAACTAATTGAATCACGAATTGATGCATCCCAGTAGAGAAACCGCGAATAACCTGCCAGAAATCACAAATCGCAAATTTCAAATCGCAAAATTGATGAAGAATTGTGAGCTACCAGAAAATAATAGGGACTTACAAATTGCGGCTAGCACGGCATGAATCTGAAGAACCTCGATAAGAAATTCGGGAAGAAGAAGTCACGACGATGAAAAGAAAAATCGAGCACGTTGCTGCGAGCCGACAAATCCCGACATGAATTGGGGAAAAAATCTCGATGACGAGCTGGGAAGAAAATCGTGACTCAACACATCGCGAGACAACCGCGACATAGAAAATGAACCGTGAGTCGAGAAGTAAAAAATCGTTAGTCGAGAAGAAAAATCTCGGGTCGAGGAAGGACGAGCCGCGACCAGCAACTCGCGGATTGTGATTAACATCAAGAATCGAGGAAACCAATCTATACCTGATTGAGGAATCTCAAAGCCTTGAAGGAAATTGGGCGGCAGAGAATTTTGGAAGTCGACAAATCGTGAACAAGAAAGGATCGCGAGCTGAGAAGGAAACCGCGAGATGGGCGAGCTGGAAGAAAATCACGACTGAAAACATGAGAATCGCGAATTGGGAAGAAATTCGTGAATGAAATCATGACCCATACACCGCGAATTAAGCAGCAATTTGAGGATGAAATCGCAATCGCGAGTCGAGAAGAAATCGGTGAATGAATCGCAAGTGAGATTTGTGAATTGAAGACGCGAGAATCACAAGCTGGGAGCAAATCGCGAATGAAATATATATCAGAAGTTATGAACTGGGAAGAAAAATTGCGAGGAAGAAAATCGCGACGTTGGAGAAGATTCTCGATAAAATTTGAAAGCTAATCGTGAAGTCGAGAAGGAAATAACAAGACGAGAAGACGATTCTCAAAGAACTCGACATAAAGACTAATCGTGAAGACGAGAAGAAAGAAAAGTGGTGTTGAGCATTTGAGTTGGGCCTAATGAGTTGGGCCCATAGAAACTAATAATTTTGACTAATCCTACATGTGGAAACAAAATGCATGCTAAAGCCTAGCAATTTCGAGCCTCGAATCAGAAAAATCTACGAATAAAAAATACACAGGATTACGAGTGGACGATGACGTCCATTCAAATACTGCAAACTATGATAAATGCCAGAGTTCCCAGACTATTGGCCTTACTCTACCGCTCGAGTCGCAGTAGAGTAAGTTTTGGGGGGGACTAGATGATATGGTCATACTTATGAACCGGAGTCAAGTATGAGAAGCTCCACACGACTAAGTATGGGAAGTAGACATGCTCTTTGTAACTGAGTATGCGAAGCTCCACACGACTAAGTATGGGAAGTAGACATGCTCTTTGTAACTGAGTATGCGAAGCTCCACACGACTACGTATGGGAAGTAGACATGCTCTTTGTAACTGAGTATGCGAAGCTCCACACGACTAAGTATGGGAAGTAGACATGCTCTTTGTAACTGAGTGCGAAGCTCCACACGACTAAGTATGGGAAGTAGACATGCTCTTTGTAACTAAGTATGCGAAGCTCCACACGACTAAGTATGGGAAGTAGACATGCTCTAGAAGCAGACTTGCTAGAATCATCTCCACCTGCTAGACTTGTCAGAGGTCATCTCGACCTGCTAGACCTTCTAGAGGTCATCTCGACTTGCTAGACTCATCTCTACCTGCTAGACTTGCTAGACTTGTCAGAGGTCATCTCGACTCGCTAGACTCGTCTCAACCTGCTAGACTTGCCAGATGTCATCTCAACTTGCTAGACTCGTTTCGACCTGCTAGACTTGCGAGAGGTCATATCGTCTCGACCTGCTAGAGATCATCTCATCTCGACTGGACAAGAGGAGCTAGAGCTCATCTCAACTACTAGACATCTCTGTGACTAGAGGTCTCTGCTACTAGACCTCTCCGCTACTAGACATCTTCTCTACTAGACGTCTCTGTGACTAGAGGTCTCCGCTACTAGAGGTCTCTGCTACTAGACTTCTCTGTGACTACAAGAGAGTGGCAGTAATTGGATAAGAAGGAATCTTGAGCTGACTAGGAGGTAGATGGAAAGCAAACCTACCAGGGCATTTTGGACACTTCAGGTAAACCGACTGGGGCATTTGGGTACTTCAAGCAAGTAGTTCCCTCTATATAAAGGGGCTAAGGTAACCCTAAACCCTAACCTCTACTCATTCTATACACTTTCCATCTCTCTGCTGCTGCTGCTGCTGCTCTCTTAGAGCGGCTCTCTCCCCCACATTCTATGCATTTCTACATGCATCACAGCTCTACATCATAGAGCTTCATCTTCCTCTCCTCTGTTTACTGACTTGAGCGTCGGAGGCCCGACGCCGGGACCTCTCCCGGCGTTGGGTTCTTGCAGGTGTTTGCGGCGGTCTAGCAACGATTTGAAGGCGGTTCAAACAGATCAGAGCTCACAACAACCGGTTTACTCCAGATCTGGAAGTAGACCCATCATAACGATTTTTGATTTGACATCCATATTATATATATATATAATACAAAATAGTAATATATATTTTTATAAATAAAATTTAAGTTTATTTATCAAACTAAATTAAAAGATATCAAATAAAACTATATATTATATTATAAAGTAATAGAAATTGGTAATTCTTTTAAAAATGATATTTATTTCAAATCTAATTGGTATGTTATCAATCTAATAAAAATAAATAATTATTTATCTAAATTCTAAAATTACATATAAATTTAGAAAACTGTGAAGCACAACGGATACTACACTTGATATATTAGACATCTAATTAAGTAAAAAATTAATCTATTCTTCTTAATATTAAACAAATATATTTCTGCACTTATGCATATACATATCACTATTTTTTTATTTCTATTTATTTAAGATTAATAGTTTTTTACTTAATAATAGTAAATAATATCGATAATTTTATATAATATAAGTAGAAAAATTCAATATGAGTTGACATTTTCATTTAATATATGGGTGTTTAATTATTATGATTAAAAAAATATAATTTGACAATTTAATTAAAACCCAAAATAATGTTTCATATAAAATTAAATTATTTTAATTTAAAAAAATTATATTTTTTACATATGTTTCCTAATTCAACACCCGTGTATTTACACAGTTATTGTACTAGTGTAAATGTTATGCACCAACAATTGGTTTTTTTGTTGGTTTTTAACGTTTACGCCATTGTATAAGAAAGTACAACTATGGATTATGGAAG